CCTCCCTCCAATTAGGCCTAATCCATCTCCACATTGTGCTTTATCACTTGTTTTGTGTACATTGTGAGCTTGGCAGCGATCAGTGAAGTTCGCTTTGCTGTATCTCGCTGTACGGTAATAATGATGATGATGACGTTGAGATAGACACTTGTGTATGGTCTGCCGCGGATGCACTCGATTGAGCAGTTCCTCGTAAGCAATCTGTTCCTCACCTGTATGCGGATCCCCTAAGACTATGGAACAAAGGGCCTGTGTTTGATTGCCACAAATATTAGATTCACAGTAGATCTTAGTAACTGAATAATCCCGCTTCAAGTTTGATTTGAGAAACTATCGCTTCGACTTGGAGAACTATAAGTCTGAATTTAGAATTAGACGCTGTGGTTAAATCCACTTTAGTTCAACTAACCTCATTGGTTAATTGATCACACTTGTTTTACTTCCCGCTCTTTTTCTGTGTTGAAATGAGGCAGGCCTTATTTGTGCATCTTGTCGCGCTCGCTGATGGACGTCGATTCGGTAGGGTCGGTGAAACCGTTCGATTTACGCGGGGCAGTTAACATGTCCCCCAACCACCAAACGCAACTGGTGACGCACCGTTCACAAGGGCCTGCAACACGGCCTAGTCGTAGCCGCTCGGTCATTCAATCATCAGAGTGTACTGCATTAACTACAACCAGGGACGAGTTCAGTGCTTGCAGTGTATTCGGAGCGGTCCACATCTCATTACGGGAATCGTAGACTTATTCGAATTATGTAATTTGTTGAGAGGCCTGGGCCGGGGTTATTGAGATAATCTTTGCTGGCTGGGCTGTTTTTTCGTCAGTGCCCAAGCAACTATGACCAGTTATGTCTTAATTGTAACTCATCCATTTCTGCTTCAACAAGCAGTAGAGCTGAACAGAACAGAACAACATCGATTGGTCTGATAAAAAGAGATATTTTTGAATTTATTACGGATGATCGTTGACGGAAGAAGTATTACTGCCTAAAGAATACACTCGAAAATACCATAACACTACAGAGGACGGTTTTTCACTTGCTCACTGTAAGCAAATACACAGAAAAAAAACAAGTAATGATCGCTGTGGGGACAGTAAGAATCAGCTGTCACACTAGCTTCTCTATCGGTCAATTTAAACTATGTTGCAGGAATCGGAAATTTTTTCTTATTTCTCACTTTTCAATGAGACCCTCAGAAAGTTTTCGTACTAGATGCGGTGGAGAAACAAAGAGTACTGGCTAAATACTGTTCGATTTCTATACTTGTTTGCACACATCCATGTGTCTTGTTAGGATTCTCTAAAGATTTGGGTTATTCTTTAGCTGAAAAGCTTTTATACAACCTGTTTAGACTGTGATAGTAACAGATAGCTGTTGTTGGGCCTAGAAAAGGTTTGAACTAAATGCGACTAAGTTGGAATTATTGCTATGCGATCGGTTCAAATATATATGTCAAGCCTCATCCTCGACATTGTGTTCGTCTATCTTTCACGGAATCCAAGGGGTTACAGAACGCTGATTCACTGTATTCAAGGAATTAAAATAGTCTTTTAACTGGAGTTAGGCGCCGAGTTGTAGGCAGTTACCATCGCCCACTGGGGCGAGACTATGCTGGTAGAGGGGCATGTGTTATGTATATTACTACATGGATTGCCACAACGTGCGATGTTTTTCGACGCAAGTCGTGGGTGGAATAGAGCCAAGGGTGATCAACCTAAGACTTCACATGAGGGTATGAAAAGTCGAACCAGGAGACTCGGTCATTTGGGTCGCGTTGTGCTTTTTGAATAGGACTCCGGAATCGGTGTTACCGATGATTAGAGACACTGATTAATATGGCTGATTGCCGCAAACAATAGCGCCCTTGCATATACTCCCTGTTCTTGCAACTGTCGTATACCTGAACTCTCGATTTACACCTCGACACTGCTTTCACCTGTCTACTTCGCTCTACTTCTTCATCCAAATGGTCAGTCGAAAGAAGGCAAATAAAAGTGCTTTACGAAGGTGCATGGTTAATGATTGTGTGAAATATAGCCTAGAGTTTAAATTTGTCTGTATGTGACATTACCGCATCCCAAACATCTGGGTTCTATCAATTGACCTCAGTACGGGAGTTACCTCTTTGCAAATCACACTACTAGTGAGTAGGTATAATTTGTACCAGTAAATTATTTTTGCATGAGTATCACGAACTTCGATGTAAATTTACCGGTGAAGGTCAACAGGGAGCACTGGACAGCTGTTTCGTCCTAGGTAGGATAAACCACCAGGTCAGAATGCTTGAAACGGTATGCATGCACACTTGGGTTGTATATTCTGTGTGTTGACCA